GATGATAAACAAATTTGTGATTTGCAATTTTAATTTAAAACATAGAAAACACAGGTATTATTGAGTTTGTGAACTATTAAAATTCTTCTAACGTTTAAGTTTCAGAACTTTTTCTAAATTGGCATTTTGATTAGAGCAACAATTGCTAAAACCTTTTGGAACATTTTTGCTAAAAAAGATTTTTAAAGGTTTCATTTGGCCCTAGAAATTTAAATAATTACTTCTAAGAATGGTTTCAATGACCTAAAAGGTTTTAAGTTAGGTTCAATATTGATGTTCAAAGGTTTTATTTTAATACTCACAAATTATTTAAAAGGAAAGCTCACCCCTCTCAATCTCTCTTTCTAATACTTTAGTGTTTCCTTCTAAAAGTGATTTGTATTGTTCTATTTAGGTAAAGTATCTCCCTTTATAAACAAATGAAATTTCTTTATCATACTTAATGGAGTACCAATGTATGATAAATACTATCACTTAATAGGATTTAATTTTTTTTATACAAAGAGTAAAAAACTAACATTTCATCATTGTATTTTTTGATATGGCAATGCATACATGTTACTAAGAAAAGCCCCTCAGAAAATAATAGCAATTTGCACGGTACTCTAATTTGTTTATTTTTATGTGACTTTCTTGCTTAATTTTGTACCTCTTCAATAAATTTAATCCTTCTTATTTAAGATAATTGTATGTTTCTATGTGTCATTATTTTATATATTTTCAATTATAAAAAAATTTCATTTTAATTTTTGAAAGAAATTAAATTTTCAAATATCTCAATAATGAAACTATGTTTTAATGAATTTTTGTAATCAAACAAATCATCAAACAATTCTTTTTTTTTTTTTTTAATGCAAATCACTACAGGAAAACTATGAACTAGAATCATTTTTGATGCAAAATTAGTGACCGATTAGCGTTTGTTTAGCGTCACCCCACAATTTCGCTTCTGAAAGAATAAACACAGACGAGTTGCGTAACACAGACGAGTTGCGTGGAGCAAAAACACTAAAATGATGAAATAGCATTAGTTATGGCCAACACAAATTTTACTTATTGGTGTTGGTCTTAGGTTCTTAGCGACCGCGCAAGAGCCCAAAAATAAGACAACCACGAACAACAACTCCACTCCACTCCCTAATCTCATTTCTGCCCTCGTTCATCGCCTTTGTTGCCTCCGAGCTCCTTCACCGATTCCAGGTTCGATTCACCACTCCAACCCAATCTAAGGTGAGAGATCTTCTTCCACGCTTTCAAGCTGTGGTTTAGCATAAGATTTCTTTTTTTTTTTTCCTTGTATAGGTGTTAGATACGAAAATACATAAATTTTGCTCAAGTTTTTTCGTATTTCATTGTTATATATATGCAATGTATATGGATTTCATGGTTTTAAATAAGTTGAGATGTGAGACATGTAAATACATAAGAAATTTGTGCTATGTCTGAAAATTTAGGTGTGAGATATGTAAACACCTGAGAAATTTGTGTTATGTATGTGAATATGAAAATTTAGGTGTGAAATATGTAAATGCATAAGAAATTTGAGTTATGTATGTAAATATGAAATTTTGGTGTGAGATATGTAAACGCATAAGGAATTTGTGCTGTGTATGTAAATATGAAAATTTAGACTTGAGACATGTAAATACATAAGAAATTTGTGCTATATGTATCTAAATATGAAAATTTAGGAGTGAGATATGTAAATGCATCAGAAATTTGTGCTATGTATGAAAATATGAAAATTTAGGTGTGAGATATGTAGATAAATAAGAAATTTGTGCTATGTATATAGATATGAAATATTATGTGTCAGATAGTAAATACATAAGAAGGTGGCCTAAGGTTTCGGGTAAGAAAATGGTATGATAATTTAATATTGTAATAGTAGTTTGATGGGTTTGTTTGGGTGTTAATGGGATAATTTGTTGATTCTATGATGACCATGAACTGAGCAGTAAAGTACAACAATTCTATAAACTATTAAATGATGCCCAACAATCATTATGGGAATGATGCACTTCACCCACAAAGTTTACAACCGCTTTAAGAATGTTGAATATCAAATCCGATTTTAGCATGCTCAGAGAATATTTTAATTAGGTAGTAACATTATTAAATGAGACGAACCCTGTTGATAATTTAGTTCTAGAAGATTTATACATAACTAAAGAGTTAGTGACAAAATTGGAGCTTCTAACTAAAAAAGATAGATTGCCGCGTCAATGGCTACATGTTATATTTTAGGGAAAATGCACAAGAGAAAAAATGCACATTTTGTAGTGCTGAGATGTTCAAACTAAAGGGGGGAAAGAGTAAAAATCAGAAGAATATTCCTTACAAATATCTCTATTATTTTCTTCTCATTCCAAGACTTCGTCGCTGTTTGTTTCTATGCATACAACTCCCGACATCACATGTCATAAAATCATATATGTTAGTGCTAATACAACGACTCATACCTTAGCTGGTGAAGTTTGGAAAAACAAGAAAAGATAAAATATAAGAAATTATGTTATAAAAATTGGTTTAAATGTAAAAAAATTGGAGAGCTGGGAAAAATATCAGAAGGCCTGCAGGGAGTCTAAAAGAAAAATTTGTGAAGCTAGAAATTCTTTTTTTAGTGATCTTTATAAGAGATTAGATTATATGTATAAACCAACCAAACAATAAAAAAAGAAAAGTAAATATTTAACTCAAGTAAAGTGTATTAAAGATGAAAAACAACAAATGTTTTTTCTTAGAAAAAGATATTCAACATAAGTATGTGAGTTATTTTGATAAACTTTTTAATGAAGTTTTTGAAACTGAAATCGACGTGTGTCATCTTGATACCGTTAATAAGGATAAAAATTTTCATTTTTACCGTTGCATTAGTAAAAAATAAGTTAGGGAGGCTTTAAAGAAAACCAAGGGTGGAAAGTCTATAGGACTTGATGATCTTCCAATTGAAGTGTGGAAATATTTAAGAGATTTGGGAGTTTCTTGGCTTACTAAACTCTTTAATATTATTTTAAAAACTAAAAAGATGCGAGGAGTGGAGAAAGAGTATTTTAGTCCCCATTTTTAATAATAAAGAGAATGCACAAGACTTGCAAATTATAGAGGAATTAAATTGATGTGTCCTACTTTAAAATTATGGGAGAGAGTAATTGAACATAGGTTAAGACGTATTACCAAGATTTCTCATAATTAGTTTGGATTTATGTCGGGCGGGTCTATCATGGAAGCTATACATTTATTGAGAGGTTTGATGAAGAAGTACATATATAATAAGGAGGATCTAACCTTGATTTTAATTGATTTAGAAAAAGCTTACGAGAAGGTTCTAAGAGATATCCTTTGGAGATTTCTTGAGAAGAAAGGAGTTAATATGAGCTATACTCAAGTCATTAAAGTTATGTATACTAGAGTTGTTACTTGTGTTCAACTTGAAGGAGGATTGACCAGATATTTTCTTATTTCTGTTGGATTACATCAGGGATCAGTTTTAAGCTTTTAAGCCCATAGATCAGTTTTAAGCCCATATCATTTTGCTTTAGTTATGGATGGTCTTACTAGACATTTACAGGAGGATGTACCTTGGTGTATGTTGTTTGTTGTTGATATCCTTCTCGTGGATAAGAAAAGAGAAAAAAGTCCAGGAAAAACCTGATTTATGGAGGTCTTCATTGGAGTCTAGAGGCCTTCGTTTGAGTAGAACTAAAACTGAATATATGGAATGTAATTTTAGTAATAGTAGCTTTAGTGACAGAAGTGCAACTTTGGGTGATCAAATTATTAAAAGGTGTGAACGATTTAGATATCTCGGGTCTATTGTTCAAAGCAATGGTGATATTGATGGAGATATTAATAGTAGAATTCAAGGAGGTTGTTTGAAGTGGAGGAATGCTTTAGGCCTATCGTGTGATAGAAAATTACTACTTAGACTGAAAAGAAAATTTTATAAGATGGTGGTGAGATTTGTAATGCTTTATGGTGTCGAATGTTGGCCTTTAAAAGAGATGCATAATACTAAGCTACGTGTTGCTGAGATGAGAATCATTAGGTGGATGAGCGGCTTTACACATAGAGATAAAATGTGAAATGAACAAATTTGTGATAGGGTTGTTGTAGCACCAGTGACGGACAAAATTAGAGGGATTCTCCTAAGATGGTTTGGTCACATTAAACGACAACCATCTGATGATCCAATTAGGAGAGTAGATGTTTTAGATTCGACTTATGTTAAAAAAAAAAGCAGAGGCAAACCTAGGAAGTCTTAGGCTTATTGTATAAAAAATGATTTTAATTTATTAGAATTAAATAAAAATATGAAACTAAATAGGATGCAATGGAGAATGCAATGGAGAAAAAAAAAGGATTCATATAGCCAACCACAGCCAGTGAGATTAAGGCTTTGTTGTTGTTATTGTTGTTGTATCCTAACATAAGAATATGTTCAACGAGGGCCAGATGGAAAGATCCAAACTTGTGGCCCATAGTGATTCCAAAGCTTTCAATATAATGAGATTGAATTGAGGTGACAGATCTAAAAAATTGAAGGATGAATCATCCAAAATTTGATTAAAAACATAAGCAGTAGTGGTCGTACCAAATTAGTTACAGAGGAAATATATATGTGATGATCGTCACTGATAATGGTCATCCTCACTCGCAAAAATATTTGGGATGCTATATGTTCGCGCTCATTTCTATCTATTTGAATATAATGAATCCAATGCAAATCCTCATTGTTATTCCCATTCCATAATGAGATGATGGCATGCAACACATACAAAGGTCCCTTTTTCCCTAAGACTCTTCGCCTCTTTATTTATTTGGCGAAGTATGATTTCTTTAATTAGTATGTAATATGCACGAAAGTATCTGAAGAATTGAGCACAATAAGTTGAAGCAAAATATAACCAAAATCTCATGCCAAACACGATAAGAACGAAGAATGAGTTTGAAACAAAATAAAAACTAAGTAGTCATAGCCAAAATACATTTGAGTTATATTTTAAGATAAAATAAACACAATCACTCATTTTATTTTCTCATGTTGATGGTACATTAAGGCAAAACACAAGGTCGTATGGGCATTTTAACTAGCTTGGCATATTCTGTCAAGCTCTGAACCAATACACAGTGTGAACTACACTATATTTGGAGAGGGAGGGACCTATTAAAGCTCCATCCAGCATAACACAAACTCTACAACTTCATCTCTCATTAAGATCATCTCTCATTAAGATCTTCTAAATTCAAGTTTGCAACATTTTATTAGACATTTAACGCAAAACCAAATCATCAGGATGGGGCTTCAGTACCTATAAAAGCATGAAGCAAAACAACAGGGATAACCAAGAAAGGAGAGGAATTATTTTCAGTGCATGCCACCCATACTGGCTTTGAAGTTAGAGCGAGAGAGCCTTGGAAGCTTGAAGAGACCAACAATGCCGCACACGAAGGCGATCCCTGACGCAAAAGCAAATGCAGGAATGTTGCCTTTGTTGAAGATAGCATCCCACGGTCCCGCCCCAAGTGCTATGATCACCTGATTTATTGTTCACAAATAATTAGCAATAATATTCAAAAAGATTCTCCCATGAGCCTTGTATAAGACTCATTTTCAAATTATTTATCATCTACAACAATCAATTGTCTGAACCACAAACGAATTAGGGACTAAATGTTCACCACAAACCTGCGGGATGACGATGGAAATGTTGAGTACTCCAGTACACAGACCTGTAAAAGAAATAAAGTTTTAAATTTATATTTGGTCAAAAATGAAAAAAAATCAAGTAAAACATGTTTGTAGTAATTGTGCATATGAACCTTGGCCACCTCCTTGGTTGGCAGCTAGCTGTGCCGTTACTGCAAAAGGCACGCTATACAAAATCTACAAACCGCCAAAAAATGTCCAAAACTTTAAGTCACAACATGAAACATTTCTCTCCAGATTAGATAATACTGAGGAAACAGTGAAATAAGGTGACACTAACCGCTAATGGAACACCCAGGACCGAAAACACAAACAGAGCAACTGCTTTCACTTTACCATCCGGAGTGATGATGACATCCTGGATGTTACCATGGTAGGTGTGTAGAGACCACGTGCTGATGATGGCAGTGGCAGCCATGCAGATAAAAACAAAGAAATTGCTTGACACCCATACGATTCTAGGGGTGAACTTGCGACACATTGGCTCTACCAGGAATGAGGTCACTCCAAGAACAACCTACCAAAAAATTTTTTAGCAAAGATCAGGATTGAGGGACTCTAAAAGCATAAGTGCACTGCATTGGGTTTGATGCTGAAAAACATCTACTCACCGAGTTTAGTAGCAGGCCGAATGCACCTGCCCTGATTCCATCGTTGTATGCTTTCATCTGAGCCGGAGTTCCCTTTGGACTTCCATGGAAGACTTCGCGGCCCATCCAGTCAGTATCATAAAGGATAAATGGAAACCATGACAACTGTAAGCATTCAGGCAAAAGAAAGTTGAGGAATAATAATTGATGTGGGGATGGAAGAATGGGACTGAGATAACTTTTCGTAACTTGGATGATTAACTGCAGAAATTAATTAAAAGAAATGGAATGTATACCCAAGTAAGTGAAGTGACGAGAAGAACAGAAGGCATTCCTTGTGGCAAATTCTTGATACTTTTGAAAATGTCCATTATTCCCACTCTATCATCCTCCGCTTCAGTGCTCCCTTTGACGGATGGAAGAGGCACCTCTTTAGCAACAACGAAGGTCACCATCACACAGATTATAAGAAACACCTGTTCATTTTTTGTAAGATCAACTGCATCAACATTCAACCGATAAAAGTTTACACAATTTTTATAACTTAATGAGAAGATTTGCTATTGAATTACGAAGTCTTCATGGAAAAATGACATGAAATATTAATTAAATGAAATTATGTGTGCCAATGAAGATAAAAGAAGGACATGCGTACCACAGCAACTAAGAATGCTCCTTTCAAATTTGCACAAGCCTCACAACAAGCCTTATTTGACAAAAAAGGCAACCACCTGATAAAAGATAAACAAATCAAGAATGGATAGAACAGCGTTTTGGGAGTGATTTACATTAAACAAATTGGCTGAAAAAAGGTATACAAGTCAGACATCTATAAATTATGTAGCACAAATTTCAGTTGATTTGGTTAAAAAATACTTTTACGGTATGATTGCTAACTGCTCTTAAGCTACAAAAAAATCGTTAGTTTCCCGAATTGGAGTTAATCAGTCAGTAATTGGAATGTAAAGGAGTTAAGCAGATGTGATCCAATAAATTTTGTTAGACTAATGTTGGATATAGTTGAATTTGTGTAATGCAGGTACGACTAAATAGATTACCAAGTTTTTCTGAGTTTGGTTAGGATGGGTTGTTGACTCTTTTGGTGATGAACGGTAAGAAAATAACTTATTATGATTCTTGAGAGATTTTTGAACCGCTGTCTCCCACAGAGGCATCAACATGAACACTCTTTTGGAATGATATAAAAAACTTTTGGGTAAAAATAATTTGCACAACATTGCACATTTTAGCTCAAAATCTCTTGGAGGTTAGCAATTGTTGATAATAATTTTTGATACACAGCTAATGTTTTGAACATACTTGTGCCACTCTCCACTAGCACCAGATGAATAACCAAGGATGTTTCCAATAGCCATCCATGCAGCAAATATAGCATTAGCAGCATTGGTTCCATGATGCCCTGTAAATGATAAATAAGCTAGTTAATAGAAAAGCTACTCTAACTGCCGGTTATATTAGATAATAACATACATTTTCTGAACATTAGATTTCTATTTTTTTATTTTCTCCAAAAAATTCTTTGGTTCATAAGGGAAAATGAAAATAATGCTCAACGCAGTAACAACAAGATAGATCGATCACCTGAGAGATCAGCCATGAGAGCTCGGGCTGGACCCTAAAAATAATTCCATGCCTTATGTCAATAAGAGTGCAGAATAACAGGATGTCTACTAATACCCTAAAATAAAATGAAGATCATTAATTCAACATTAAATATTTAACCACATCTTGATCACCTGTACTGCATTGTTGGACAGATCCAGCATCCAAAATCCAGCTACAAAAACGAATGCAGCCCGCCACCGAGGACCATGATACACACTATTTATGTAAAAATAAACATTAAAGAAAGAAAATTGTGCATCAATAATACATAAGTTCACACAAGCCAAAACATTTCCCGCACTCAAAAAACTATAAAGCCACCTTGAATTACCTGCAATGTTCCTTGGTATCACCCAGCTTGAAACCGATGTCTGAGGAAAAGGCAATCACAATAACCTAACAATAAAAAAGAATTTTTAATCATGCATGCATCATAATTCCATAGAAGAATATGCAGATTTAGATATTATTAGTACTACACTTACTGCAGTAGAAATCAGCAAGCACCCGACAAGTATGAATGGTCTTCTCTTTCCAAATCGTGAATGGCATCTATCACTCCATAAACCAACACAAGGTTGAACCTAAATGCCAAAAGGGGAAGGCAAATTTTATAACTGCAGATTCAGCTAAAATAAGATAAAATATGGTTAAGCATGACCAATGGTATTTTAGAATCAGCTTTGAGCTTGACATGCTGCCAAACCTGTGGCATCAATATATGATATCATAGTTTTATTGTTTCAAGGGGTGTTTGTCCAAAGAGTTTATAATTTGGCTCATCAGCTAGCCGCACAAGAAGTGTAAGAATATCTTGTCAAGGATTTAGGGAAATAACAACTATTTTTGTTTCATGTAAAGGAAATATAACATAAATATTTCAAGCAAAAAACTACTTGTCATAGTGTTTTCAGAGGGAAAATAATTGATGGAAAAAAAAAAAGAAATTAATGATTAATTGCACGTAAAAAATTCATCTTTAAGTGTTTGGGAGATCAAACGCTTACCACAAAACCAGCAACGGGACCGCATAGCCACATAAGGGAGCTGAGTGCATGCGACAATCCAAGCGTCTGTAACACAGCCCAAAAGTCAGTAAAAATGATTAGTCTTATACAATTTTTTTAAAAAAATTACCTGCAGCTACTGTACACATTTTAAGAACATTTTGAATTTAAACCAAAGAAATTTTGAACTACATCACGAGGATAACTAGTTTCTCGAGATTATTCATTTTCTCTACGCAAGTTAATGGAAGGAGACTCTTTTTGTTTTAGCTTTTTATTTAAAAGAAGAATATCACATGGGTGAGGCTGAACCTAAATCTTATGGTTGATAGATAAAGCTCTTAAGCACTAGATCTACGTGACCTCTAAAAGAAGAGCGAGCCCTATGATTTTATCCAATAAAAAATAGAAAATTAAGCGAACTTATAAGACCAAAAAAAAATCAAATATTTCCATCAATCATGTCCTCAAAGAACTGTCAAAACTTGTTCAAGGCAAAATATTACTCTTAAATTTAAATCTGCGTTACAACTGAACATATAATATGTTTTTGATGCATATAGAAATAAGAATTTAAAGTAAATAATTTATCCAAAATCAAAATAATATATATATATATATA